AGTCTAGAGTGAGTTTTTTGCCCCTTGGAACTTTTCTTCTCCTTCATCTGTAGAGTCAAGGTGTCCATAACCATGTTCAGAGACCACTCATCTCAAAAGCCAAGTCCAGAAGCCAGAGATCCAGCTGAGAGAGCAGTGGCTTGGTGGTGAGATGGTGGGACGTGGGCACTTGGGCATTTTCTGTGGTGTTTTGTTTGGGTCTCTGTCTCCTCTCGATACAATTCAGTTTTCAACTGATGCAAACATAGTCACATCAGCCTGATTCCCCGTGGTACAACCAAGGCAGCTGAAAGAGTTTGAGACCTCTCTAGTTAGTAAGGAGAACAGAGAGCTAGGTCCTAGAAGGAGGCCTCTCTGGTGCTTTCTTTGATGGTGCCTCCACACAGAGCAGGCTAGAGACTGAAATATTAGAAGTCTGGGAAGAGGGAGTAGGCTGGGAGGCCCACAGTACAGATTCTTCAAACCAGCATTTGGAATAAGACAAGCCCTCTCGTCAGCAGTAATTAAATGTGAAGCCCACGAGGCTTCTCTCTCTCTTTTATACTGTGTGTCCTTCTTATCCTTCGCCGTTAGCTAGCAAATTCCCTTTACAAGCCAAATCCTACCCAAAGCAAAATTCCAATTTATACTGATGATCCCGGGTTGGGGTTTCTGACAAGGCTTTAAAAGGGATGTAAAGGAATGATGATGGAGACAGAAAACATGGAATGGAGGGCAAAAGGATTAAGGAGTCATCCCCCATACACTTTTGGGGACAGGGCTGGCTAACCTCTGTACCAAGAGTGCTGAAGTGACTTGTCATAAAGACTGGAAGTGGCAAAACACAAGGACATAAGACTAAAACATTCTTTGCTGCCATGTTTGGAAGGGGGCCTGTCACTTGAACACAGAGCTGGCTCATTAGGTTACTCTAGCTAGGCAACTTGCCCCAGGAATCCCCTGCATCTCCAGAGGACCGGGGTTTCAAACAAGCTGCTCTACCCACTTAGCATTTGCATGGGCGCTGGGATTTGAACTCAAGTCCTTGTGCTTGTCCTCACCTACTGAAGTATCTCCCCCAGCCCTTAAAACATCCTTCTGCAATATTTTTGCCAATGAAATCACAAACACCTATGTAGTTTGGATAGTGAAAGTTTAGCATCTTGTGTGGAGCCTGAGAGCTCACTTTGAATGGGTATCCTAACCGGAAGGTGCATTGAGTTGCACAGTCTTTGGATCTGGTAAAATTCGTTGTGTGATATTTTATGTTTGTTGATTAAAATTTAAAAAAAAATAATAGTCCAGGGTTTTAAAAACTTTTCATGTAGTTCTACAATGAAGGAAAATTGCATCGTCCTTCTTTAAACTTATATTCAGTATGTTAAGGCATGCAGCCCGGAGCACATCAGAAATGGTGATCACATAGCTTCCGAAATCTGTGATGGGCATAGGTATTCCTATATTTCTGGAGGCAAGGAGACACTATGTGCACATTTTCAAGGCAGAGGTAATATAAATTAAGACAGAAAACACCGGCTTCTCTGTTCAACCAATGGTCCGCACAACTAGCTGTGTGAACTGATGTTCCTAGTGGAAGGAAGGCTACCGCTCCTCAACCTGCACCACATTCCACAACTTTTAAGTCTCGGGAAAATCTGTTCGGTGTCTACTGGGAGGCAATACAGAAGAAGCACTTTTGTAAAGAGTGCTAAATGACCTCTTGGCTGGTCAAATCAGGGAAAAGGGAATCAGAGCCTTGGATTCACTTCCTGATTCAGAAAGTGACTCACCACGTAACTTTGCTTAACCTCTCGGCAGTTGAGTTTCTACAGCTCAGAAACAGGGATAATGTTTGGCAGCTTTACAATAGTAAATATTTTAGCAATACTTAAAAAAATATAATAATCTTGAATCCGGGGGCAGCAAATCTGGTTTTTCGTGCACTGACACATTCACAAAGCCATTTCCACCAAGGCTGAGTGTCTAAGGCTTCCAGATCACCTCCCTGAACGCCGCCTGGTGCACTGAACTCTCCTTATCCTGCCCTGAATCGCACTGGAGGTTGCCATGGGCGTGTTCAGCTTGTCGGATGGGCTGCATAATGCCACCTGCACCGACTGCCCGTGCCAGGGCGCTTGTCTGCTTGGTTGTCAAGGAAGACACAAGTCAACAGAAGAAGGGAAAGTTCCGTAAGGTGGGGAAGAAGCCTTCTCCTTGGATTGTGACTGTGGGGCATGTGGCTGAAGTTACGAAACAGCCTATCTCAAATGATTCCTCTCTTCCGCTTTCCCTCACGTTCTAGAGACCCCCATCTCAGAGGGAATGCAGAGTTCCCTGCCTTGCTGTGCTTGTTATCATTCCCCCTCTTCTTAGGTGTTCTGCAAGCTTCTGGGTTTGTTTGTTTTTGTTTTTGTTTGTTTGTTTAAGGGCCAGTTACTTAAAATGATTGGCCCGCTCTTCTGATATCTATTGCTTGACTTATCAGTGTTCTCCTAATAGTCTCCTGGGTGGCAGTAGTTACAGTTCACTGAAGCTGCTGTACCGTTCTAGGCAGGTTTCTTCTAAAATCGCCCGTTGGTGAGCTGGCACTTGGGAGATTCCAGTGCACAGCAGAACAGATCTCCGTCTTCCCAGGAGTGACGCTGACGGCCAGCAGGGTCCGCCCACGGGACAGGAGAAAAAGCCTGAGTCCAAACTGAGGCGCGCTGGAGGAGAGGAGGGCTGGTGGGTTCCTGATAGCGACTTTGCTCAAACCCCGTGTGTCTATGAGAAACAAAGGACACGACTGTGTCTGACGGGGATCTCAGATCCGGGCTCTTGGTACTCATAGACTTCCCTCTGTACAATTCCACTTGGGTCCTTCTCTCAGGGCTCACTGCCCTCTGGGCACACAGGGGCCGTCAGCATTCGCATTTATTTCCCAAGAAAAGATGTACACGTCAGCACAGATATTAGACTGACAAGTGGCCAGGAGTGACTTGTGAGGCTAGGGGGACATAAAGAAGCCAGGAATCTCAGTGTGGAGAAACGGTTCAAGGGGTCTGAGTGTTTGCTTCAAAGTAGGGTGACTTGAGTTTAGAACCCGTGCATCCTCAGTCAAATCCAGGCAATTGTGATCTCGGCTCCCTCAGAGGGGAGGGCAGGAGAGCAAAGTGCGCAGCTTCAGTGGGAGACCGGAAGGAATACGGAAGACGGCGAGAGAGCAGGGTCGCTGATGCCCTCTCTGACCTCAGCTTGTGCGCACCTACATATATACCATACACACACACACACACACACACGCACGCACGCACGCACGCACGCATGCACGCACACACACACACACGAACAGGACTGACACTTTGCACTGAGGCAGAGCTTCTAGGAAAAATCTTGTTTTTTGCCAGCAGCACCCAGCTTGCTTTCCTTAAAACAGACATTATTTTGCACTACCCGAACAGTTTCAGGTTCGAGAATCGCTGCTTGCTGCACACATCCCTTTTTGAGAATTTCATTCTCCGAGTTAAGTCTATCAAGTCTTTCAAAGTTTTCCAGAAGATAGCAAATTCCTTTCGTGCATGTTACCACAAAATAGCCAGAAAAACAGCTTAATCCGTTTATTAATATTCAAACACTCCATCACAGCATTGAAAATACTATTTTCCACTTGATCTTTTTTTTTTTTTTTAAGATTTATTTAGTTTTTAGGTTTTGTTTATTTAAATGATTTATTCTTTATTTTACGTGCCTTGGTGTTTTGCCTGTGCGAGGCTGTCAGCTCCCCCGGAACTGGAGTCACAGGAAGTTGCGACCTGCCAGTTAGACCCTGGGGATTGAACCCGTATCCTCTGGAAGAGCAGCCTTAACTGCTGAGCCATCTCTCCAGCAACGCGTTCCCTGATTTTTATTTAAAGTGTGTGGCAGTTTCCTCCGCGGGCATGGCCGAGCACCACATGCATGCAGTACCGAATGTGGCCAGGAGGGGGAGAGAGATGCTCAATTGTGAGCCGCCTTGTGAGTGCTGGGAACGGAACCTGGGTCCTCAGGGGAGCCACGTCTCCAGGTCCCTTCTTGACCTTTCAAAATTACTGCTTATTTATTTGTCTGTTCAAGTCATGGGAGTGGCTGCCCACATGCATGGGGGTCAGGAGGCAGCCTGTGAGCGCTGGTTCCCCCCTTCCCTTCCACCATGTGGGCTATAGACAAGCAGCTCCGGTCACCAGGCGCCTCCGCAGGAGCCTTGCTTCACCCACGAGGGCACCTTGCAGGCGCTTGAGCTTTTAACGTGGACCCGGACTCCCTCTCTTTTCTGGGCTGATCCCTTGAACACGTTGTAAAGTGCATGTTTATATTTGAAATAAAACTAACTTCCCTGTTAGCAGTGACCTGTTTGAGGTGTGACCTGGGAAAGGATTAGCTGCAATTCCTTTTTCTTCTGAATCTTCCTTCAGAGAATTTGTGGCTAGGCAGCTTCCTCCTCTTGAGGAAGGTGAGCAAGCAGAAGTGTTTAATTGGATCCGAGCACAGGGATCCCAGAAACGTCTACAAAAAAAAAAAAAAAAAAAAAAAAAAAAAAAAAAAAAATCCTTTCACTGTTACACGTTCTGTTAAACAAAGATTTTCTTTAAAAAAGAGAGATGGTGAGGTATTTTATCTGTTTATACAGAGCGCATATCCTCTCAGTGCAGGGCTGTCCCACCACACGGCTGCCTGAAGATGTAACAGAGAGGAGAATTTGAGCAGCAGAAGCTGGAATGTGGCTCCCGCAGTTCCCTTCCTTCACCCCCTGCTCCCCTTCAACTCTCCCCAAAGTCCATGTAACTCGACTTTCTCATGTTGGTTTGTCTGTAAAGCCAAATGATTCTTTTCTTTTTCGTCCCAGCATCCTAGTATCAGGGGCCCCTGGGAAGTGTTTGAAGGATAGTTTTAGATCGGTGTTTACTCCCGGAGTTTCAGACTTTGGAGATGCCCTTTGAATGGTGACGGTGTCAGGTGTTCCCATCCCTGGGGTAAAGGTGGAGGACGGAAGAGGAAGGCTAGGTACCTTACGCATCGGTACACAGTGAGTCATCTCCTTCCCTGGGAACGGAGAGCCATTTTCTCTACCCAGTCACTGCAGGTTGCTTTTCCTCCTTGCTTTTAGATTGAGCTTTGTGTCCACTGACAAATAATTCACGACTTTAGAAGCTGCAGAAGAACACACACAGGCACATGTTACAGCCCCATATTTTACACACACCTTTGCAGTGTTGTTTTTTTTTTTTTTCCCCTTCAATTCATTTTAATTAGCATTCGTACCAGGTCAATACTGGTTTCCCTGTTATGCAAACCCACACCCATGCTAAGCGTCTCTAGGGTTAGGAACACGGTGATAATATGACTGTTTGGTTTCGATGTTTGTGTGCAAGGAGCCCCAGGTCATTTTCAGGAGAGAGAGATTGACTCCAGGAGAGCTTTACCAAAGAAGTGGCCATTCCTGCCCCCTCAGTGGTAACAGCAACGACAACAAAGGACGATTAAAAATATCAAAAGTGATGGAATATTAAAAGCTGACAGTGGCTTCATTTCCAGGCAGTCAAGAAACTCGTGAAGCTGAAATTTCAATGCACGGAATAAGTGACTTCAGGAGAACTCTGGGCTCTCGGGGAGAGGAGAGGGTACAGCCCATGGAAGCATGCCATCTCCACGATAGCCAGGTTACCCTGCCTTGGAAATCTCCGTGCTTGTGCAACTGCTTCCAAGATGTGAGTGCATGCATTGCTGCTCCTGGGCCTTCGGGGTGAAAGTTCCCGGCTGTTGTCTGCTTCTGTCCTCCTCTGCTAATCCTACAGGTGATGTCCGCCCTCCCCAGCCTCCTTCTAGCCCCTCCTCCCATCATGACACACAAGGAGAAGAGACAGAGACAAGACTTTTCACTGAAATGCAAGACAGACACCTTCAAAGGAAACTTTAAGAAAACCCATTCATTATTTATTTTAAGTTTTATTATCATTAGCGTGTGTGTGTGTGTGTGTGTGTGTACCAGTGCATGCATGCCATAGCTCTGCTGTGGAGGTCAGAGAACATTCAAGAGTTGATGCCCACTTTCCAGCTTGGGTTCTGGGTCTCTAAATGAACTCACAGGCCTTGCAGGACGGAGGCTGTATCTGCCAAAGCATCTTCTTTATTTTAATAATTTATATATTTTAATTTTTTTGTATAAGTGGTTTGCCCGCAGGTACGTCTGTGCAGCTTGCGTGTGGAGTGCCTATGGACCCCCTGAAAGTAGAATGACAGGTGGATATAAGCTGCCATGTGGGTGCTGGGGGGAAAAACAGGGACTTATGTCAAACCGTCTTGCGAGCTCAAGAAACCCAGTCCCTGAGTATTTATTATATAAAGAGAACTTTCTTCCCTGCAAAGTAGGGCCTCCTCCTCGGTGCCCTTACATCTTCAGGCTCACACTTTCTATCCCAAGCAGTTGCTAGAAGGTTTTTCCTAAGCGGTGGGGCTCTGGGTTACTTTACAGGAAGAGTTTGGACAGGGACACACAGTTTTCTCTGAGCCTGGTCAGTACTGCTCCCTGGTCATAGGCAATGCCTCTCAGAGAACAGCTTTGGGAAGTGCCTCCTATCATATTCAGTTTTTTTTTCTTTCTGGTTCATAACTACAGTTTTGGAACTTTTATTACAAGTTCAGATTGCATGTCAAACATCTCTCTCCCTCACTCCCCCTGACTCCCCTTATCTTAACCCTCGCTTTTCCCATTACTTCTCTCCCCCAGACAGTTTCACTTCCACTTTCCTGTCATAAAAATGTGTGTGAGCATGTGTGCGCGTTTGTGCACACATGTGCGTGTGTGATTTTATGTGAAATCTAGGACCCCAAAACCAGAAACTACACACAATATTTAAACTTGCAAGGAACTGTCTTTAGGGGAGTGAGTACAGAGAACTTGGAGATTTCAGGCATTTATCAATTACGATGTGTTACCACACGGCTTTAAATTTACACAGATCTTCTTTACTTTAATAAATATAAAATATCATTAATTTTTTTTAAAAGCATCTTCAGGGAGCTGAGGAGATGGTCCAGTTGGTAAGGAACCTGATCTTGAATTCTCAGCATCCACATGCAGGCCAGGCATGGTGGCGTGTGTCTTTAACGCCATGGCTGAGGGTACAGAGACAGGCAGATGCTCACTGGAGCTCACTGGCAAGCAAGTATAATCAACGAGTGAGTTCCAGGTTCAAGGGGAGTTCCTGTCTCAAATAAATGTATGGAATGGAAGACTACTGACACTAACGTCTGGCCTCCCTGTTTCTGTGAGCCCACTACGCACAAAATGAATAAAAATATCATCAAGGTCGGTGGCGCTGTTCTGAGTTGCTTGTGTAGCATATGTGAGATTATGGGCCTGAAACTCAGGACCATGGACACATGAAAACTCGCTTAAAAGGATGAAGTAGGTGGACCTGAACAATTTTAGAACAATTTAAGCCCCCAAAAAAGTGAATGTGAAGCAGTACAAATAGAACCACGCGTTACAAAGGATGTTATCGCCTGCAGGTGTTCCGTTGGTGCAAATCTCTCTCCGTTCTCTTAGAGCGTTGAAAGATAAATTAAGGTGAAGGGACTAGAGTGAGAAAACTTGCCCTACAGGTAAAAATCTCACTATCTTGGAGCCATCTAGCCCCGAGGGCCACCAGACCTTGGAGTCCGCAGCTCAGTGGCCTGGAACTGCATCTTGCCAGCTGTGGAAGCCTGGAGTGCCTCATAGCCTCACCTGAGAAGAGCAGGACCTGCCTGAGGAGGTGTTATGTAGATTAAATGAATAACACATCTGCGATTTTTAGTCAACTGTTTGGCACCTGTCCGTGTTGGTTGCCTTTGTTTTGAGTTGGCCGGGTTACAGGCTAGGGAAGGGCGGCATGCAGCCCTGACAAGATGAGTGAGGAGCTTTTGGCAGAGGACTCTCCCCAGAGACTGAGGTGGTGGGTGCTGCCTCTAGAAGAGCCTGGAAAAGCCCACTCTGGAACTAGTCTTTGGGAATGGACTCTACAGCCCGGGATTTCACGACAGGTTCCAAAAGACAAGGCGCTGTGGGTGTGAGATTATTGTCACACAAATGGGCCACGTTTCAATGAATTTGAATGTATTTCTCTGATGGAATGCTCTTTTCATTTTTTTATGAGCAAAGTACACTTAGAAAATCTCTTGGAGGGAAAAGCAAAAGATAAGGAAGCTTATGGCTTCCTGAAGAATGCTTCCTTTGTGACCTCATGTTCACAATGTCTTGTATGTAGTACATGCTCAATAATTACGTATTGGTTTTGTTTTACATCTTTTAAACAACACTGAAAGGCCTGTTATAAAACATTTGCGGCCTCCATAGAAGCTTAACAGTACAGCATCAACAGCGATTTAGGAAAGTTTTCCATCTAATTCTGGAGGGACTTAGCCACCTGTGTTCCTATGTTAACGTAGCACACAGCTAAACAGAGAGGAGTCTCCTATCTGGAAGGCATCCGTGTGAAAAGAATACACTTGTTCTCTTTTCAAGTATCCTAAGCATAAATTGAATTTGTTTTACCGGTTCCGGAAGAAATCATTTCAGCCCACAAGAGAAACTTAATCTTTTTTTAAGGTTGGGCTGGTCTACACAGTCAGTTCCCCACCAACCAGGGCTACATAATGAAAACCTGTCTTTAAAAAATATCCAAACTTATGCCAGGAATGGTGACACATGCCTTTAATCCCAGCACTTGGAAAGCAGGGGAAGGCAGATCTCTATGAGTTTGAGGCCAGCCTGGTCTACAGAGTGAGTTCCAGGATAGCTAGAGCTACACAAAGAAACCCTCTGTGGGAAAACAAAAAAATTAAAGGAAGGAAGGAAGGAAGGAAGGAAGGAAGGAAGGAAGGAAGGAAGGAAGGAAGGAAGGAAGGAAGGAAGGTCCTATATACATTAACTCACAGAGTGGGAAGGGAGGGAGGAAGGGAGGGAGGGAAATAGTTGGGGGGGGGGGACCACTATACTGGAGAATCACAAAGTGATAATTAACCCATACCAGCATCATTCCCTGTGGCCCAGTTGCGCAGACTAGGTAACGGCTATCCTGATGTTGTTCGAAAGGTAGCCTTAAGAATACCCCTGCGAGCTGGAGAAATGGCTCGTCTGCTAACATGCTTGTCACATTTGTGAGGACAGGAGCTTAGATCCCCAAACCGACATGAAAAGCCAGGCAGATATGGCAGCTTCCTATAATCCCCAGGGAGACTAGCCAGACTAGCCAGACTAGCAGGAAGCTCCGGACTCAACAAGAGGCCCATCCTCAGCAAGTACAGCAAAGAGCAACCAACGGCACCCCACATGAACGCTGACCTCCCTACCGACACTCGATTTCACTACGTGTGTCTACACACATGTGCACTCCAGACATTCATGCACATGATAAAAAAATCATATAATGCTTTTGAAGGCTGGGGAGACGGCTCGGTCAGGAGAGCGGTTGCCATGCTAGTTGAGAACACACGTAAAAGCTGGGCAGGGTGGCGCATGTCTGCAGTCCCAGAGCTGAGGAGCCAGAGGCAGGAGGCTGCCTCTCACTGGCTGCCAGCCTACGCAAATGAAAGAGCTCCAGGTTTAGTGAGAGACTTTATCTCCAAAAAAGTAAGACAGTGAAGGATTGAAAAACCACCTGTGTCCGCCTCTGACCTCTATACACATGAACATGAACATATATGTACTGAAAGAGAGAAGGAAGGTGAGAGGGAGGTAGGGAGGGGAGGAAGAAGGAAAAGAGGGTACGGGGGAGAGGGAGAAAACCCCTTTGATATAAAAATAACACAACAAGGCCATTTGCTGGCATTTCTGTGTGCGTTTGGGGTTGACTGCTGGAAATGACAAAAACGACTGCTCAGCAATAGTCAAAGCCCTTCATTCTTTAGGAATTCTGCTGTGTTTTATAAAGCCCCCATGACCTGAGTCCTCCTTATATCCAGGTGAGAAACATGAAGACAGGAATGAAGTTCACCCAGAGTTATCCAGCTGGTACTCACGGTGCAAGAGTTCAAAGCCACATAAGGCAGAGCATCCTCCTCGGATCTTAGGTTCTGTAACTGGGACAGGGTTATCATGCCAGACTCTGCCACACTCACCACTAGGCTTCAAAACAGTATGTTCTGGTTTGGGGGAAAAAAAATGAGCATGAACAGTTTTTATTAGAGAGAGAACCCAAGTGAGAGTGCGAGTGTGTGTGTGTGTCTGTGTGTGTGTGTGCATGTTTGGAGAAGCACATCTTTGGAGTGTGTGTAGCCAGCAAACCCCAGGGGTCCTCCTGTCACCACTTCCCCAGGGCTGGAATTACAAGCCAGTGCTACTAGGCCCGGTTTTTCACACAGGTCCCAGCAATCTGAACACGTGTCTTCTACCCTACCCCTCCTATTAGAATTTTAGAGAAAATAAAGAGAGTTCTTTTCTACAGTGAGAGAATGTCAAAATGCCAAAAACAAACAAATAAACAGTAACAACAACAAAATCCTTCCGGCAAAGGACTCACTCAATAAAATTAGAAAAATTGAGTGTTAAATTTTAGCATCCACCTGGCGATTCTGAGAAACCAGGAGCAAAGTCTGGCAGTCTAGAGCCATGAAATGCATTTAAGTGCCAAGAATGCCCCCTATTGCCAGCACAAAGAAAGAAAGTGGGCCCAAGTCTGATGTTCCTCTAAGAGGGTTGGATAGCTTGAGCCTCTACCAGGAAATTTCAGGTGCACAAGAGATTTCAAGCTACCACACTTTATGTCTCATCTCTCATGCCCCCTTGGTGGGAGAACTGCTAAAAAGAAAAAAGAAAAAACAAACAAACAAACAAACAAAACAACACCTCTCCATGGCTGTGTTGAGTTTTCAGATTCTCAGTTGGTTGCTTCCTGGTGAAATTCAGATAAACATTTTTCTTCTGTTCTGTTCTGTTTTTTTTTTTTTTTTTTTTGGTTTGTTTGTTTGTTTGTTTTTTGTTTTTACCTACCTGTTCTTTAAATTTTCCCAGGTCAGCGAATCTGATCCTTTATAAATCTCTGCCACTTGTTATTCTTTCAGGAAAGAGTTAACAAAAGACCTTACGAGAGGGAGTTATCCACCAGAGATAGAAAATGTCTGGGATTGGGTGGTGGTTATTTTTAAGCAAGAAGGAAAACAGAAAACAAAGAAGAAAAGAGAGAGAGAGAGAAGGTTTTTTTTTCTTTCTTCAGAGTCCCACCTTAGTCAGGGGAGTATCAGGTGAGAGTCATTCTGAAAGGATTACCTGGCCCTCAACCCCTGGGAATTCTCAGCCTGTATTTGTTTTTTGTCTCCCAACAGAGGTGTGGCAGGAAGGGGTCATGCAGAAGGTGAGCAAGACTTTAAATGCTCCACTTCCTCACTGTGGAGGAACACGGCAGTCAAACCAGGTGAACTAAAATCACTCTTCATTTTTAAAAAACAAGCTCTTCCTCGACAAGTCTTATCTCTTTACTGGGACATCCGTCGCTACTAGAGACTTCAGGGGAATGGAGTTTGGCAAACTCCTTCAAAAAGCAAAAAGAACAAAAACTACATAGATATTTGATGTTGTCTATAAAAAAAAGACACTTCTGAATTTAAGACTCACTGTTCTCATTACTGAAACTTCCATGAGTTAGACCTGTACAATTTAGTTTAATAAAGAATGTTGAACTTAGTGATGACCCTAGCTACTGGGGAGACTGAGGCACAGACTCTATCCTCTCCTGTTGAATAAAAGCAATTGAGTGGTGGTATCCCACTTCAGTAAAAGTTGTTACGAACACCTACCAGTTTTGGCACAGAGTTCCAACACCAAGTGAATATGGTTCACCCAGTGCAACAAAAGGCAGGCACCTACATTTCGAAGGAGCTTACCTTCCTTGCCTGTCAATCTACTTTTGTCACTTTACTAGGATGTAATTGCTATTTATCCTTTAGAAGGCCTTGTGTAAACCCAAGAGGAGGGAAAAAGCCCAGTTATCCTTGCTCGGAAGTATAAGACTTTCATTTCCCTCATTTATGATGAACCTAGAAACTCAAACAATGTAAGGAGAGGGTACTGGGCATTGCCAATGTAATCAAACTGTGCTCTGTAAAAGAAAACTTGTATATTCTAAAAGGATTATTATATGAGTTGGTGGAACACTTCTTGAATACTGGAGATCTAACAAGAGCAGAATTTTAATTGAATGCGATTGATTCACCAGACTTTTTTGCTCCCACCCAGTTTGCCTCCTACGCTTTCTGCTCCTTAACCCCTTTGTTGACAATTCTCCAGTTCTAGTCAGCTTTCTAACTAGTTTTGGCATTCTCAGCTGACAGCTACTTATGGCTGTGATTGGAAGGCAGCCTGGTCCACTGGAAAGAACAGGTGTTTTTTTTTTTTTTGTTTTTTTTGTTTTGTTTTGTTTTTTTAAGTAAAATAGCTCTTCCTTTGAGTTATTCTACCATTTATAAGCTAGGTGGCTTAGGGTAGACATTTTGACTTCTCTTCATTCAGTTTTCCATGGACATAGTTAGGATAACTTTAAGAGCTATTGTGAATTGTCAGTGGTTTACTATGAGTGAGCATTGAGAAAATAACCCAGTTAATCACGGGTAAAATTAAGAAAACAACTGTCTTTGATGGGAATTTGTGAGTAATCTTATAACCTGGTCACGTTACTGTCCACTTCAGATTTCAGCAAATAAGTCCCCCTTGCTCTTTGAGGCCCAGTCTTTCTCCTGTAGCTTTCAAGGTCTATCATGCTGATTCTGATCTTGGTTCTCATACCTCTCATGGCTCTCCATCTTCCACTCTACTGGGGGCTTTGTCATAGGCTGTGCTGGTGCCTTGCTGTGAAACTATATTCATGCTATTCCTTTTCCTGAGGTGATGCATTCCCTCCTTGGCACAGAGCCCACTCTTAGTCACCTCGCAACTTTTGTCCTAGTGTTTTCTAAGACTTTCCAAACCAGCCCGGACTGTGGGTTAGCACAGTGTTCTGTATTCTTCAGCTACCATACTCACGACCCTGTTCAAGGATCTCCCATCAGATGTGAATCCTCTGAACACTGACCCAGTGTCTGCTTCTTTGCGGGGCCAATCACATGACTTTATGCAAGCATGAGAAACACATACACTTTTCCTGCTTATTTCTTACTTTGCACTCCTTATTCTAATAGAAAAGGAGGAGGTGGGATAGAAAGACTGCTTAAAAGTTGAAGGGCACCCCACTGATTGGTTCGCTCCAGAAGCCAATCTTAAAGGAGCAAGCTGGATCCATAACTGCTTTTGTAAACCTAATCCTAATTTAATTTACCTCATCAAGTGCATATATGGTGCGATTTTCATCACCCAAGCATGCAGGTGTGTTTACTAAAACACAGTCCCACACAGGGAAATGGTGGGGGAAGCTTTTGGAAATTAGTCATCTCCGGGTACGTTTTTTACAAAACTCATAGTTTTAAGTATCATCAAATGTATATAAATACATTACTTTCCTTGATGTGATGACCAATCACGTGACAGTGACAGAAGAAGCTTACAGAAAGGAAAGGAGGGCTTATTTTGCATTCCTGTTGGAGGAAACAGTCTATCAGGACAGCAAGGCATGGCGTCAAGAGCTTGAAGTGCATGGTTGAATTGCATGCTCAGTGAGCAAGCAGAGAAGAAATGGAAGTCGATGCCCAGCTTGCTCTCTCCTTTTAATTTACACTGGAGCCCCAGCCCATGGGATGAGGCCATCCATACTTAGGGTGAGTCTTTCCACTTCAATCCCGGTCCAGAAACCTCCTCAGGATTCTAGATCCTGTCAAAAATGACAGTATTAACGACTGCACACCCATGTGCTCTAACTGGTCTGGAATGGGAAATGTCGTCTAAGCTAGCCTCAAACTAGCAGCAATCCTCCTGCCTCAGCCTCCAGAATGCTGAGATTATAGATATGTGTTACCACATCTAGCTCAATGACATCAATTTTTTTTTTACTTTTTAAAAAAAAATATATTTTTATTATTTTAATTTTTTTATTCATCACTCATACATCTCAATTACAAATTCCCCCCTCTCCATTCCTCCCAGGGTTCCTTTCTGTCTTTGTCCTTCCGCAGATCCACTCTTCTTCCACTTCCCTTCGGAAAGAGCAGGCATGCCAGGGATATCAAATGAACACTGCATAACAAGATACAGTAAGACCAGGCACAAACCCTCATACCAGGGTTGAACAAGGCAACCCAGTAGGAGGAAAAGAGTCCCAAGAGCAGGCAAAAGAGTCAGAGACTGCTGGGTGCGGTGGCGCATGCCTGCGATCCCAGCACTCTGAGAGGCAGAGGCAGGCGGAGCTCTGTAAGATGGAGGCCAGCCTGGTCTACAAAGTGAGTCTAGGACAGCCAGGGATACACAGAGAAACCCTGCCTTGAAAAAAAAAAGTCAGAGACATCCTGGGTCCCACATGTTTAGTAATTTTTCTGTTAGCTGGGGGTCGGAGGAGAGCAGGGCAATTATTGTTTATTTTATCAATTGCACTTTTTGTGCCCTAATAGCAGGCGGCTACTTTTCAGATTCTACATTCTATATGGCAGTAGACACTCACATTTCTTCTAAAGCACTATGGGTGCCATGGTGTTGCTGAATAAGAATTACAAGGCAAGCTAGAGTCAGTTGTTCCAGGAATGTAGGTAATCAGATACTATTCTTAGAGGCTATTCTGGAGCAGAAAACCAAAACTTTCTTTTCTTCTGGAAGAAAAAGAAAAATGTTCTTCATTTGGAAATCACTATGAAAAATGTTTTTTGTAAAGTATGTTACGTTTAATAACATAATCATAACCTGTTACTAGATCATCAGTGCCCCTCACTAATTTATCACGTCTACTGCAAAAGGATGCTTGGGTGATGCCAAATACTTGAACACTCTGCAAGTGTCCTGTGCTGTAGACGTTATGAAAAAGTATTATAAAGATTTTTTAATGGGAAATCAGTAAAAATTTCTTTAGAAAACTACAGTGTGCTAGAACTGTGAAGTTAACAGTTGGACTTGACCCTTGTGATGCCTGGGCTCACAATTCCAGCGCTAGGGATGCCAAGGAAAGAGGATTGCAAATTTGAAGCTAGCATCACACACACACACATACACACACACACAACACACACACACATGTACACACACACACACACACACACACGCACGCATGCACGCACATACACACCTTTTAGCACTGTTTAAAGGTTTACAGTAATAAGATTTTGACTTGAGAGGAAGGGGACCATAGATGTGATTCAAGGGAGGGAATATGGGAGACCTTGGAAGGAGGAAAGGAAAATGGAAAGTTGTAGAATTATATTTTAGTTAAAAATGTAAACCAAATAAAGTTTGAGGTCATGTAGGAGAGGGAAGGTTTTGTGCTTCATCTCATACTGTGTGTCTTCAAAACAATATCCTTTTTAGGACCTGCATTTCTGCTCACAGTTTCTATAGATCCTTCCAAGTAGCAATGAAAAATAACTTTCCTCAGTGTAACCCAAGCTACCACCAGCCACCTCATTTTAAAGAACAATTGAAAAGCACAGCTCATCATTCCCTGGGTTAGGGTTAGGGGTCAGGTGGGGGGGAAATGGTATTATTGTCAAGTCTCTGATTTCTAGCCACAATTTTCTTTTGTTTTCACTTCTGAAACATGGGGAAGATACCCAAGGTCACTGAGCCTTTCTAATGATGGAGAAATGATGAGTTGGTAAAGGACCTGGGGTAAAAGAAATTGTGTGAGTTGAAGAAATCTGTTCATGTTTTGACTTGACCCATGCTGTCCCAGTGTCTAAAAAAAAAGCAACTTTTATTACAGATAACACAACGTTGCTAAAAACAACCCAAGAAAAGCATGGTGAGGTGTCTATATAGACAAGCTGAGGGCATCTTGGTTACTCAGACCTCATGTTGAGGTCGCCAACTTTTAACACAATGTTTTCATTTCTGAGTTAGAATAATTTGGAAAGGTAAGCCTGGTCTCATTGGTACCTGCTTCTGTGGTTAATTGGAGATTCACATTCATCTAACAATGGTCTTTATCAAGATAGCTTTATAGTCGAGGATGGTAGAAGGAAGAGTATCCCTTTAGCAGATTAAAAGCAAAGGTGATAGAAATACAAAGCGACCCATGTGACCCATGAGTGAACTCAGGGTGTAAAACAATGCTTAGCCAGACTTCCCTAGAGTCATTTGGAATCTTGGGTGCTGTCCAAAGTCCAGAGTTCAGATTGGATTTGATAATAGCGATGGCATTGTCGCCTACATTTCAAGTTATCTTTGTCTCAGCTTACAAAGGTGACACCATCACTGTCCCTGTCCATAAGTAGGGAGTGACAGCCCTCAAAAATGTATCTTCTGCACACTGCCTCATCTTGCCTTCCACGGAGGGCCTCCTACTGGTATCTAGTCCTGGTGTCTGTGCCTTCAGAGGAAATGGCAGTCTTTTCACTTGATTAAATCCCTTTATCTTGCTGATCTTTGGGGAGTTACATGCCCACGGAAAGCTTACTTTCCACTCTGCTGTCTGAGACTCTAAGGTTAAGAGGACTGGGTTGGTTCTCCAGGTTAAGAATAGTGTTGGTGATTCTCTATTGATCAGAGGTTGTGTAAGGCCATTCTTCAAAGTAAACTTTATCAATAATAATAATAATAATAATAATAATAATAATAATAATAATAAAGTCACTTTGTTCCTCACTGTTCCAACTATCTATCTTAGTTTTTAATGTTTTATCCTGAGGTGGAGAAGGGAGATATTTCTCCTCTCAAAAACCCCTGAAGACCCACCCCCAAAACC